TAAAATTTAATGAAATATGTGGTTGAAAATTTGTGGGACCTATGAAATATATGGTTATAATTTATTGTTGATTTTGACTTACATTAAAATTCATATTTTAATCCCTACCAAACATGGTTTAACATTCGTTGAGTTTTTCCACACATTATTAACTTAATTTTTTTTCCAAAAAAAAAAAATTATATATTTGCTAATTTTATCTATGCGCTTGTCTTGTATGAAGCTTTCTCACATAAAAGAAAAATAAATAAATAAATAAATAAAAATTAAGCATGTATGCTTGACAATTTTTAGGTTGTCAAATTATCACAAGATAAAATAAATAAGTAATTTGTTTTTAGCTTGAAAATCACAACTATGATAATAAGTTTTATGAATTTCACACAAAAAAAAATTATCTCCGAGAAGCATCTGTTAATATGGGCGTGATTTATTATTTTAATTAAGTATTTTTATCTGTTCAACTATTTATAATGATAAATATGTAAAATTTACTATTTCTTTGAGCAGTAGGTATTTTTTGTAGCCATTATGCAAAACGACAATACTTGTGACAATCAACTGTTTGTGACATAAATTGAACTGGGCTCAACAAGGAGTTCATAAATACGACAATCAACTGTTTGTGACAGCAGATAACAATACTTGTAGTTGGCATTTTCTATTAAGAAGACTCAGAAACAGAGAATTATTCATTCCATAGCACAAGATCCAAAAATTCTCAAAAAATATTGAGTAACTTGAGTTTAAAATTGATTCCGTCTGGATTTTACTGCAGCTAAGCTGTTCAAATCTCTCTGTTTATGTTCAGAAAGAAAGATATACATTCGGTAAACAAAACTGGGAAGAGACAGAATGGTATAATAAATTATAAGAACAGATCATAAGACATGACAGCATGGAACTGTTCTATTTGTGTTTCCGTTTTATGTTTTGAGTTTTGGATTCATTTTGGGTTTTATGTTTTGAGTGTCCATTTTGAGATTGTTGAAAATGTATTCTTTTTGGCATTTTAAAAACCCAAAACGCGTTTTGAAAATATTGATTTGATTATAACCAAAAACATTCAAAACAACGATCGTTTTGGATTTTTTTTTGTAAAATTTTAACTTGTTTTCAGAAATGCGTTTTCGAAAATAGGAAAGAGAACGCGTTTTCACTGTTTTGAAAAATAGAAAACAGAAAACGGCTTGAAAATGGTAAAGAGAACAGACACTAAATGAGTAAATGGCTCTCCCAAAATACATGCCAGAGAGGATGAACACACACATATATTTAATTAGTAAAGTTTGCTTCAAAAGGGAATCTCAGTTTATTACAGTCAATGATTAAGAAAACATTAGATGGTGAATCTTAGATTTCATATAACATTGAGGACATGTTGGGCAGGTTGAAAAGCACAAGATAGAATTATAAAGGAAAATGAAGCGACTGTCGAGTAATTTCGACTACTGTGTATCAAACATGTCTTTAACAGCAATGAACATGTCAAATAATTGTGATTTTTGGAACGAGCGTGCATACTAAATCTGAGTGTAGTCAGGATGATTGCAATTTCCCCAAGCTCAAATAAGCAAGTGCAATGATCTGCAAATTACAATTTTTCAAATGAATTCGAGACAACTCTTTTGTCAAGGATGCACAAATCCAAACACTCAAAACGGGCATTTCCTCAAACTATAAACATATTCGGCTACAAAGATTTTCTTTGCTCAAAAATTAGAATTGCATTTTCGATTATTCATCAGCTCTTAAAGAACACACGAAACTATTGAGAATGCAACAGTGGCACATCATAATGTAGGCTTGAGTAAGTATGTCTTTGACTTAACAGATGACAAATAACACGGGCTATTCAATTGAATGCCAAAGATAATCTACAACAATGTTAGATAACGAACTGAGAAGCTTACATTGGTGAACTTTACTTGGACGTCAAATCAGCAAGAATTCCAAAGAACTATTCAACATAACATTAGCTTGGATCAGCAGCCATGGAAACAGAACTTGATCCAGAAATCTTGTAATCTCTTCTATAGAATGGATTAGAATTCTCTCCAACAGAGTCATTTCTCTTTATGCAAGACACACTACCTTTACTGTATCCAAGAACCTTAGACCTATTACTTCGCCCATTGAAACTCCTACTTCGAAATCCAGATCTGTATTCCAGTTTAGGTTCTATCCCATCATTCTCACCACGAAACTCAGACTCCTCATCAAGGCCAACCATTAAGTCCAACAAATTGCTCCTAAACCCCAAGTCAGAGTACATTCTCCGCGAATTCCTCAATGGTAGTCCTAGTTTGGCATCCGCAGCATCCAAATTTGGGTCTTCGGCCCCCTTTCCCTTCGAATTCTCGTGGACCCTTCTCGACTCTACCGGTCTCCCCATGGTATCAACCATCAAACAGGGATTAGCAAATCCATTCCATGGACGGATTGGAACCAGCCTACTTAACCCACTCAAACACTCTACTACCTCCTTCATTGTGGGCCTCTTCTCCCTACAAGACCTCACACATTTCGCAGCTACCACCGCCAACTGTTTCCTCACAGAAGCGCACTTGGGTGGTTCAATCCTGGGATCATAAGTGGCCAACAATTTCCCTCTCCTAATCAATGGAATAGCCCAATCAACAACAGAAGGCGGCGAATGCCCCATATCAATAGCTTTCCTCCCACTAATTATCTCCAAAAGCAATATTCCAAAACTAAACACATCAGTTTTAGTACTCAGATTATCCGGGGTTACATAACAGGGATCTAAATACCCCATTGTCCCTGCTGGGGGAGTTGATCTTAACCTATAATCATCCACACACCTCAATGCCAGACCAAAATCCCCCAACCTTGCATTGAAATTCCGGTCTATCAGCACGTTGGCCGACTTGATATCACGATGAATTACCGGAGGACTTGAGGAATGGAGAGTATCAATGGCTTTCGCAGTTTGTAAAGCTAATTTTATCCTTCTTCCCCAAGTGGGAGGCCGGGAGCTCGAATGCAAAACATCATAAAGCGTCCCATTTCTCATGAACTCAACCACTAAAAGGCGATCTGGGGAATCGTTCTTACTGAATCCAACAAGATTAACTAATCTCGGGTTCTGCA